TACAAGAGGCTCCAGTGCTGCCAGCGAGTGAGTTTAGTTATGTCTCCCCCTCATGCCCTGCAATGTTTTTTCATCATTAAAGACAAGCTTAAAAGCAACTAATGATGTATTTTATATCCACGTACCTGAATCACAGATTTCACCAAAAGAGAAGACATTAGCATGGTAATTCAATTTTATTTCCCCTTTTGGCAGTTGTAACGCAACAAGATACAGTGGATGCTGTTATAAGTCACAACACTGTGATATTTGAAGATAGTGCAAACCGTATTTTTTTCTCCTCTCTGTATCAGGACTTGGTTATAATGAACCAGAGTATAGCCACTGTCTGTCTGTGCCACCTCCCCCACCCCCACCCAGTGTATGAAAGCAGCAGTTGCTTCTCAGAAAAGGCAAAACCATTGGAGCCTGAAGCTCTTTCTAGAAGCCACTACTTGTCTTCTCGTTCTGTGGAAACTGATACAGTGGAAATTGGTGCTGTGTCGGGCCTCACCTTGGCAGTGTTGTGTGCAAGCAAATTTTTATAAGGTTGGAGATGTTAGCCAGACTTAGCATGCAGGTGTCTGTATGCAGTCTACCGTGATGGACAGCCGGCTTCAGCAAAGAAAGCTGAGAGTGTGTGTGTGCTTGTGTATGTGTTTTTGTGTATGTGTGTTGGGGGGGGTGAGTTGTGCCACATCACACCTACTTCTCAGATTTTCCACCTATTTCACTAGTAGTGGAACCACAGCTCACTTTCCTTATCACTGACCCACACTGTTTTCCTCGTGTCCTACAGTCAGTGGGAGCCCTGGTCTCTTGACTTTTTCCCCTTTCTCCTGTCCTGTTCACTCCTGGCTTCTGTCTGGCCTCACTTCCTGTACAGTGTTAGATCTGAAGATGGGATTGTGTCCCTTAGTGGTTGGAAATTTCTGACTTTCCGCCTGATGCCCTGGCAGGGGTCCCTAACCTTGGATGTCCCTGAATCTGAGGGATCCAGATTGGCTGGACTAGAGTCTAAAAAGTTGGGTCCCAGGGAATTTGAATGTTCTGTTCTGTTGGGTTAGCAGCCCCTGGCTTATAAGATCAAGCCCTAAAATCTTAGATTTGTATCTTAGCCTGGACGGACACCTCCCCTTTGGACCCCAGAAAGTGTAAGACTTCACAACACCCTTAGACTTTCCCTTGTCCCACTCTTCTGTTGGTTAACTTCCACTCATCTTTTAAGACCCAATGAAATGCCACCTCCTCTATGAAGCCTTCCTTAATTCTCCCAGGTCATTCACTCATTCATTTACTTATTCATTCAACAGATGCTCAGTGATTGCAGGTGCCAGGCTTTGAGCTGGGTTCTGTAGATGACTTAGCAGTGTATATATCAGAAGTGAGGAGTCCCTGGTTAGTGGGGAAGTTAGGAGAGACATGGGCCGGGCAAGGGGAGTCAGTGAGTGCTTTCTGGTGGAAGCAACAGTTTAGGGTGATCTGAAGGATGTTTAGAAGTTAGTCACAAGGTGGGGCACCTGGGTGGCTCAGTCGGTTAAGCATCCAACTTCGGCTCAGGTCATGATCTCACGGTTTGTGGGTTTGAGCCCTGCGTTGGCCTCTGTGCTTACAGCTCAGAGCCTGGAGCCTGCTTTGGATTCTGTGTCTCCTTCTCTCTCTCTCTGCACCTCCCTCACTCATGCATGCATGTGAGCTCTCTCTCTCTCTCTCTCTTTCTGTCTCTCAAAAATAAATAAAACTAAAAAAATAAAAAGTCACAAGGCATGAAAGGTGGGGGAAGGAAAGTCCTTCCATATGGAAAGAGTGTGCTGGTGGACCTGAGAGGTAAATCTAAGCCGTAAGCAGAGGCCAGATTCTGTCCTGGTTTACTGTTGTGTGGCATGTACCCCCAGTACATGGAAGAGGGCTCACTAGGTATTTGTGGGTGAAATGAAAGGCCTGATCCTATAGGATTGGGTCTCCCAGTTTAGACAGCAGGGCTGCGGGGTAGAAGATACTGAGGTGGAGCTCCAGTGTCAGGAAACACAGGATGTAATCCCCAGGATTAGAGAGCGAGAGAAGTGGTGCGGTGGCTCCTTATAAATATGTAAGAAATTTAGGGCCCTGTAAGGAATTATTATTTCTATTTCACAGCTGTAGGTTTGGAGCGCTGAAGAGTTAACTAACATGCCCACAGGAATTCTGCTGGTAAATGGGAGAGCTAGGATTCAGACCCCCAGCCCGGCTCTGGCGTCCATGCTTTTAATGGCTCTCTTGGGCAGACTTGGCCTGACCTGCCTCCTCACTGGAGCTGGCGGTTTTTCTTTCACCTCCTGCAAGCCACCCCACACCTGGCCCAGGGCCCACTCCTGGGGGTGACTGGAGAAGGAGGGACCTCAGCGGCCACCCCCTCACTGAATGCTGAGATCAGTATCACATCCCAGGACTGGAATTTTTAACAATAACATTTAAGAAGGAAAACAGATTTTTGAAAATATGTTCAGAGGCCCATTGTGGCTGGTGCATTGCCGCCCTGTGTTGGGGAGAGGCAGGAGGTGTCGGAGGACAAGTTAGCAGCCCTTTCCTGGGAGCCAGTCCTGTGTCACCACTGTTGCTGGCTGGACTCCCAAAGGCTGCAGCTGGGTCCCGTGCTGGCCGGGTCAGGGAGCATGGTATGTGCTTCTCTCCTCACCGCCTCCCCCACCTCGCCCCAATATTTTATTAAGAGCTAATTTACACAGTAAAATGACAAATCTAAGTATTCAGTTGGATGCTTAACTGGTTGAGCCACCCGGGTGCCCCCCAATGACTTTTTTAAAATAATCTTTTTATTTCTAGATGATTTTATAATCAGAACAAAACTGCGAAGATTGTACAGAATTCCTAAATACTTTACACTGAGTTTTCCCTAATGTCAGCATCTATTCTATCACAATACAGTTGTCACAACTAAGAAGGCAGGATTGGTGCACTACTATGAGTAAAGCCCCAGACCTGATATGGATTTCACCCACCTTCTTCATGAATGCCCTCTTGCCGTTCCGGGATCCCATGCGGGATACTGCATCTCTTCGGGTCTCTCTAGTCTGTGATGGTTTCCTTGTCACAGCCTTGACAATTTTGAGGAATACTGCTATTTTGTGGATGGTTCCTTCGTTTGACTTTCTGTGATGATTTGCTCAGAGCTAGGAATTTGGGGGAAGGGCCCTTTGCATGCCTTCCAATCAGGGGCATATGTTCTCTACATGCTTTATCACTGGTGCCCGTGACTTTTTTACAGATCTAGAACATTTCCAGCTTTGCAGAAAATCCCCTTTCCAGTCCATCTGTACCTCCCACCCCAAGGTAACCACTGTCACCTTGGGGTACCACTGTTGGGATTTCTGTCACTACCAATTAATGAAGGGTGCCAGTGCCTAGATTTGTATCAGCAAAATCAGTGGACTCCTCTCATCTTTGGCTTTTTTTTTTTTTTTTTTTTTTGCAAAACATAATGTTTTTGAGATGTATCCCATTTTGCTTTTTCACTGTTGCCTAGTATTCCATAGTAGGGAAGTAGGGATACACTCAGTCTATTTGTTCACCCGACTACTGAGCCACATGTGGGTTGTTTCCAGTTTGGGGATATCATGGGTAAGCTGCCATGGACATTCTCACATGGTTGTATTTGGGGATGAGTCCTGCTTCAATTGAGAGAGTCCACGTTTGGGGTGGGGAGGCTTTAACCTCATCTCTTCAGCTCTCACTCTTGATGACTTTCTAAAAATGCCCTCATTTGCCCTCCCTACAAATAGATTAGGGAAGAATGAAGCCTCTGAAAGGAACAGAGAAATTCTTGCTAGGAGGTATACATTCAGTGTGTTAGCAAATCTCATCAGCTCTGGCTCTAAAATATTTCTTCACTATGCCCACTTCACTGTTTTCCTAGCTCCCACCAGAAACAAATCCACCTCTGTCTCTCCCCTCCTCACTGATCTGGCCTCCTCAGTTCTGCACCCTCTACCCTCCAATCCATGATGGCACCAATCAATCCTTCACCCTTTATACCCCATTAAGTTCCCAGAAGCTTCCTTTGTCTTAGGAGACCCTTCCACCTTCCTCTCCTGCTCTCCAGACCCTATGGCCTATAGTTCTGCCTCATGTCCCTTCCCAGCAAGCTCTTTCCCAGTGGTCTCTGCACTGGCTCTGCCCTCTGCCTGGAGCATTCTTCCCAAGGAAGGCTGCCTGGCACCTTCCGTTCCTTCAGTTAGGACTCTGTTTCACTGCCACCTCCATAGAGAGGCCTCCCCTGACTGCCCATTCATCCAGTCTGTCTTTTGATTGGGTAATTTAAACCACTTACTTACAAATAATTGCTGGTTGGTAAAGACAGAGACTGTTTCCATGTAAAAAACTCTTTTCTGCCTATTTTGTAATTCCTTTCTTCCTCTGGTTGTCTTCCTTTGTGACTTGATGACTTTTTTATAGTGTTATGTTTTGATTCTTTTCTCTGTATCTTTTGTGTTTCTACTACAGGTTTCTTCTTTGTGATTACCACGAGGCTCACATAAAACATCTTCTAGTTATGACAGTTCATTTTAAGCTGATAACTTAATTTCCATCACATATAAAAGCTCCACACTTTTCCTCCCTTTGCCCCATTTTGTGATCGACGTCAGTATTTACATCTTTTTATGATATGTACCAATGAGCAGATTATTTAGCTATAGTTATTTTAAGTACTTGAGTCTTTTAACTTTTATGCTGGCATTAAAAATGATTTATGCCCCACCATTACAGAATTAGGGTATTCTGAATTTTGCTGTGTGCTTATCTTCACCAGTTTTCTATGTTCATTAGTTTTCATGTTCCACATGTTATTCCTACCTTGCAGCGTGAAGAACTCCCTGTAGCATTTCTCTTAAGACAGGTCTGGTTGTGATGAACCCCCTCAGCTTTTGTTTCCTGAGGGAAAGTCTCTTTCTCTCCATTTCTGAAGGACAGCTTTGTTGGGTAAAGTATTCTTTGTTGACAGTTCTGTTTTGTTTTTTCCCTTTCAGCACTCTGAGTGTATCCTCTGTCCTGACCTTCATGGGTTTGCTGGGAAATCCTCTCACAGTCTCGTGGGGGCTCCCTTGTATGTGGTGAGTAGCTTTTCTCTCGCTGCTTTCAAAATTCTGTCTTTGACTTTGAACAGTTTGGTTTTAATACGTCTCATAGACGATTTTCTGATATTCAGCCTATTCTTGGTTCTTTGGACTTTATGGGTCTGGGTGTTCATCTTCCCCCTGGAGATATGGGAAGTCATCTGTCATGAAGTCAGTGTTTCTGTGGGCGTGTGGAGGTGGGCTCTCCTGGTCTGCTGTCTTCTCCTTCGCTGCTTTAGATGTGATTTCTTTGGGTTTTTGAACATATTTAAAAGCTGATTTAAAGATTTTGTCTAGGGGCGCCTGGGTGGCTTAGTCGGTTAGACGTCCGACTTTCGCTTAGGTCATGATCTCGCGGTTTGTGGGTTCGAGCCCCGCGTCGGGCTCTGTGCTGACTGCCAGCTCAGAGCCTGGAGCCTGTTTCAGTCTGTGACTCCCTCTCTCTCTGACCCTCCCCTGCTCACGCTATCTCTCTCTCTCTCCTAGAAATAAATAAAAACATTTAAAAAAAAAAAAAAGATTTTGTCTAGTAAGTATAACACCTGTGCTTCCTCAGGGACTGTTTGCATGGATGTTTTTGTGAGTGTGTGTGTATGGGCCATACTTTCTTTTTTATTTGCATGTGTTAGGTCTAAATAACGTAACGTGACAGCTCTGGAAATTAGATTGTCCCTCCTTCCCAGCGTTTGCTGTTTTTGCTGTTTCTGTTACTATTGTTGTTCTTTATTTGCTTAGTGACTCTCCCGTGCTAACCCTATAAAGTTTCTATATTTTTTGTTGTTTGTGGCCACTGAAGTCTCTTCTCAGCTTAGTGGTCAGTCATTGATTGGAAAGAGATTTCCTTAAATCCCTGGAACCAGAAAGTCTCCCAGGCTTTGCCAAGGGGTTCTGTATGTATATTGGGGAGTGCTTTCACCACACAGCCTAGCGTCTATAGCACTGACTTAGTCTCCACTTCCTGCTCGCCGGGGGCCCCAAGTTGAGCCAGCTTAGGAAATAGATGAGCTAGCTTAGGGCCTTCTACTGTTCCTGATCATGCACACAGCCCTAGGCGTGTGCACAGCCTTCTGCGTGCGCATGGCCTCCTTTTCCAAACCTTCTATGGAATTCTTATTCTCCAGCTTTCCTTTTAAGTGTTTTGGTTATTAGCATGTTTTTTGCCCCAACTTATTTTTCCTTCAGGCAGCTAACATGTTAGTTAAATAATTGCTACTCGCTGTTTTTGACAAAAGCTCCTAGGAGAGGGAAAAATAGACTGTTCACACTGGCCAAGGTCTGAGCCAGGTCAAAGAAGGATGTGCCTTACAAGTGGGGTTTTCCAGGGGACTGCCAGACAGATGGAGTGGTGACGCTGCTCTGACATTGGGGCTCTGAAAAGCTCCACTCTGTTCTGACTCCATCAGTGGCAGCTGGGCTGCTGGGGGGCTGGTTTTCCCAGTGATTTGCTAGTGATTATGGGTCGTTAGTTTTCAAGGTTATTGTGGGCTGGAGAGTAGGGGCCGGAACTAGGGCAAGTTAAAATGTCATGAAGCTCAATGTTCTTATCAAGATTCATTATTTTTCTTTTTTTTTTTTTAATTTTTAAAAAATGTTTTACTTATTTCTAGGAAAGAGAGAGAGACAGCGTGAGCAGGGGAGGGTCAGAGAGAGAGGGAGTCACAGACTGAAACAGGCTCCAGGCTCTGAGCTGGCAGTCAGCACAGAGCCCGACGCGGGGCTCGAACCCACGAACCGCGAGATCATGACCTAAGCGAAAGTCGGACGCTTAACCGACTAAGCCACCCAGATGCCCCAAGATTCATTATTTTTCTTGAAAAAACACCCCAAGCCCTGATTGCTGCCAACTTTTGGTTGATTTTTAACATTCTAAAGCAGTTGATTCTGATGATTTTTGCCAGTGATCCTATTGCCTATATGGTCGAAAGGGTTTCTGGAGATTCTTATTCTGCCATTTTTTGATAATGTCACTCCTACATAGACAAACAGAGGCCTTTTCTTCTTCATGACACTTTTTTTTTTTTAATGTTTTATTTATTTCTAGGAGAGAGAGAGAGAGAGAGACAGCATGAGCAGGGGACGGTCAGAGAGAGAAGGAGTCACAGATTGAAACAGGCTCCAGGCTCCGAGCTGGCAGTCAGCACAGAGCCCAACGCGGGGCTCAAACCCATGAACAGCAAGATCATGATCTAAGCGAAAGTTGGACGCTTAACCGACTAAGCCACCCAGGCGCCCCTCTTCGTGACACTTCTTATGGCTTTTACGCTACTCTTTTTTTCTCCAGCTAGATGCCACCATGGATATGCCTGTAGTTGAACAAAGTTGGGTTTATTGACTCGTTGCAACAAAGAGACCATACATTATGGGAGAACCGTGAACGTGAGGCAAGTCATCAGAGATATTACAAAGGACTTATTAGAGCATCTGCACCTGGGTCAAGCAGTTTTGAGAAGGTTTTATGGAAATAGGGCTTTTGTCTGAATTGGATGCTTTCTGGAAGTGAAGGCAAGTCTATGATTGCATGTTCTAATAAATCTTATTTAGAAAGTGGTAGGAATGAAGTGAGATTAAAGCTATACTGGATAAAGAAGTAGCAGTCACCCTCATTAGCTGGGGCTGGGGGTAGAGTAGTCTGAATAATGGCTGCCACGGTCTTCAGATCATAATCCCTGGAGCCTGCAATATTTCCTTAGATGGAAAACTTGTCTGCTCAGGTATGATTAAGTTAAGGATCTTGAGATGGGGAGATTATCCTGGATTATTCAGGTGAGCCCTAAATATAATCACAAATGTCCATGTAAAAAAGAAGCAAGGGGGCTCCAGGGTGGGTCAGTTGGTTAAGCCTCTGACTTTGTTTCAGGTCATGATCTCATGATTTGTGATTTTGAGCCCTATATCGGGCCCTGCACTTACAGTGCAGAACCTGTTTGGGATTCTCTCTCTCCTTCCCCACCCTTCCCCAACTTGGGGTGTGTGTGTGTGTGTGTGTGTGTGTGTGTGTGTGTTCTCTCAAAAATGAATAAACTTAAAAAAAAGAGAGAGAGGCAGAGGTTCACACATACCTGCTCTCTGTATCTGTCTGTCTGTCTCTCTTTCTCAGGAGAAGACAATGTGAAGATAGAGCTGAGAGATTTGAGGATGCTGGCATTGAAAGCTGGAGAGATGTGTCCACAACCCAAGGAATGCCAACAGCCACCATAATCTGCAAGAGGCTCTTTCCTAGAGCCTCTGGAGGGGGCACCGCACTGACCACACCTTGGTTTTGGCCCAGTGAGAATGATTGCAGACTTTCGTCCTCCAGAATTGTAAGATATGATACATTTCTGTTTTTTTTTTTAATATTTTTATTTTTTATTTCTAGGAGAGAGAGAGAGACAGCTTGAGCAGGGGAGGGTCAGAGAGAGAGGGAGACACAGACTCTGAAATAGGCTCCAGGCTCTGAGCTGGCAGTCAGCACAGACCCCGACGCGGGGCCCGAACCCACGAACCACGAGATCATGACCTAAGCGAAAGTGACTAAGCCACCCAGGCGCCCCTACATTTCTGTTGTTTTAAGCCACTAAACTTGTAGTAGTTTACTACAGCAGCCCTAGGAAACACATACAGGGGATGTTTGATCATTTTTATGGTTTGGACAATGTCCTTGTTTTTGTCCAAGTTCATGGGTTATGGGTTGAATTGTCTACCCCTCAAGTTTATATGTTAAAGTTCTAACCCCCACTACCTTAGAATATGACCTTATTTAGAAATGGCCGGTAGCGTGGGCCCCTAAACCAACAGGACTGGTGTCTTTATAAACGTGGACAGAGATGCACATGCAGGAGGAGCACCATGTGGAGACTGGAGTTATGTTGCCATAAGCCCAGGAACCGCCAGAAGTTAGGAGAGAGGCCTGGAACCACTCCTTCCCCTGCACCTGTGGACACCTTGATCACAGGCTTCCAGTCTCAGAACTGCCAGACCTTAACTGTCTGTTATTTAATCCACATCCATGTAGTTTGTGGTCCTTTGTTACAGCTTCCTGGCCAGTGAGTACAGTTTAGAGATGATTCCAGAGTGGTCTTGCTTTTATCTTGCTTGTGGCCTTGTCTGACGTTGATACTCCATGAAATTGTTGATGTTCGGCAGGAAACCTGCAGCACCTAGCTGTGAGTGCCAGGCCTGCTCTTTCATATGTCAGATACTGCTTTTCTCTTTCTTGTCACAAAGACTTTACTCATCTGATAAATGTTCACTTTATGTTGTCTTTAAGCATTTTAACTAATTCTTTCTAAAAAACATTTCAATCTTCAATCCAGTTGGCATTTATTCCAGAGGGAAGATGGGGCAGAGATATATGGCCTCAAGTAGAGGCCATGATCAAAGGGGCTTGAGGTCCAGACTTGCTGAGGTCTTTATGAACCTGAGTTCACAGCTATCTTAGACCACTCCCCTCAAACTGCTTTGTACACAGGAGTAATCTCAGGCCTTCAGAGCATTTAGGGAGTAGTATCTTCCTCTCTTCCTTGTCATTCCTGATCAAAGGAAAGGCGTCAGCCCCCTTTAGTTAGAACAGGTCATGGCTGTGAGTGCCTTCTCACTAGAGCCATTAATTCGGAGGACAGGCTCATCAGCAGAAAACCCTCCCAGAGCCCCACGTGCCCCTCCTCTGTCTATTTGGATAAGTGCAGTGCAGGATCAATTATGGATGAGGCTCGATGGGAAATGAGTAAGTGGGCTGTTGTCTACTTTGAAAAATTAATGGGATCTGATTAACACAAGAGTACACTCCCTCTTCCTCAAGCCAGAGAGGCTCAGATCTCTACAGAAGCTCAGGGGCAGACAGTGGGGCAGCAGCAGCCCTTGTGTCTGTGTGGGGTTAGATTTGATTCATGGAATCATGCGTTAGACTTATCTACCCCCTTGACAGATGAGAATACTGAGGCCCATCAAGGTTAAACAATTTGCCCAAACAGCAAAGAAGGAAAGAAAAATAGTCAATTACTGGGTTTTTACGAACATGCTTATTTATTTTGAGAGAGAGAGTACACCTGGAAGTATGAGCAGGGGAGGAGGGGCAGAGACAGAGAGGGGGAGAGAGAATCCCAAGCAGGTTCCGCACCGTCAGCACAGAATCTGATGCCAGGCTTGATTTCACAAACTGTGAGATTATGACCCGAGCCCTAATCAAGAGTTAGGTGCTTAATATACATTTTTTTAGTATGGAAAACTTAAAACCTATGCAAAGTAGCGAGAATAATATCATGTACACATTCTCAAACTTTTTGGTTTCAATTTATACTCTTAAAATTTTTTGAGGGGGCGCCTGGGTGGCTTAGTCGGTTAAGCGTCCGACTTTCGCTTAGGTCATGATCTCGCGGTTCGTGGGTTCGAGCCCCGCGTCGGGCTCTGTGCTGACTGCCAGCTCAGAGCCTGGAGCCTGTTTCAGTCTGTGACTCCCTCTCTCTCTGACCCTCCCCTGCTCACGCTGTCTCTCTCTCTCTCCTAGAAATAAATAAAACATAAAAAAAAATTTTTTTTTTTTTTAAAAATTAAAAAAAATTTTTTTTTTGAGAATCTCCAAGAACTTTTGTTCCTGTGGGTCGCGTCTACTGCTGTTTGCTGTATTAGACATTAGAACTCAGACATTTAAAAATATTAATTCACTTAGGGGGCGCCTGGGTGGCTTAGTCGGTTAAGCGTCCGACTTTCGCTTAGGTCATGATCTCGCGGTTCGTGGGTTCGAGCCCCGCGTCGGGCTCTGTGCTGACTGCCAGCTCAGAGCCTGGAGCCTGTTTCAGTCTGTGACTCCCTCTCTCTCTGACCCTCCCCTGCTCACGCTGTCTGTCTCTCTGTCTCCTAGAAATAAATAAAACATTAAAAAAAATATATATATTAATTCACTTAAAAATAATACTCCCATTACATGTCAACACAAATAACTTTGTCCTTGACAATGTATTTCTAATATCAGCTTTATTTTTATTTATTTTTTTTTAAGTGTTTTTTGTTTCCCTGTGTTTTTTAAAAAATTTTTTATGTTTTTTTAAAATTTATTTATGAGAGAGAGAGAGAGAGAGAGACAGTGTGAACAGAGGAGGGTTAGAGAGAGGGAGATACAGAATCTGAAACAGGCTCCAGGCTCTGAGCTAGCTGTCAGCACAGAGCCTGACACGGGGCTCAAACCCACAAACTGTGAGATCATGACCTGAGTTGAAGTTGGACACTTGACCGATAGAGCCACCCAGGTGCCCCTATTTTATAAATGTTTATTTTTGAGAGAGAGAGAAGAGTGTACATGACCGGGGGAGGGGCAGAGAGAGAGGGAGACAAAGGATCTGATGTGGGGCTCGAACTCACAAACCATGAGATCATGACCTGAGCCAAAGTCAGACACTTAACTGACTAAGCCACCCAGGCACCCCTCTATTATAAGCTTTTAAATGCCAATTATATATCATCTATTAGATTTTATGTTATTTTGTTATTATGGCAAAATATATCCTAAATTTTCACTTTTAACCATTAAAAATTTTTTTTATTTATTAAAAAATTTTTTAATTTTTTATTTATTTCTGAGAGAGAGAGAGAGAGTGTGAGCAGGGGACAGTCAGAGAGAGAAGGTAATACAGAATCTGAAGAAGGCTCCAGGCTCTGAGCTGGCTGTCAGCACAGAGCCCAATGCAGGGCTCGAACCCACAAACCGTGAGGTCATGACCTGAGCCGAAGTCGGAAGCCCAACTGACTGAGCCACCCAGGCACCCCCACTTTTAACCTTTTTTAAGTGTATGGTTCAGTGGCACTAAGTACGTTCAGATTGTTGTACAACCACCACCACCACCTATCTCCAGAACGTTTTCGTCTTCCCATAGTAAAACTCTGTACACATTAAACCCTAACTCCCCATGCCTGCTGTCCGCAACCCCTGGGAACTACCATTCTTCTGTCTCTATGAATTTGACTGCTCTAGGTACCCTGTATGAATGGAGTCATATGTATTTGTCTTTTCTTGTCCTGCTGACATCATTTAACATAATGTCTTCAAGGTTCATCCCCGTTGTAGCCTATGTCAGGGTTTCCTTCCTTTTAAAGGCTGAATAATATGCCATTGTGTGTATAGACCATATAGACCACAGATTGTTTATCCCTTCATTTGTTGACATTTGGGTCGTTTTCACCCTTTGGCTGTTGGGAACAGTGCTGCTACAAACATGGATGCACAAATACCTCTTTGAGACCCTGCTTTCAGTTTGGTTGTACATAAACCCAGCAGTGGGGTTGCTGAATCAAATGGTAATTCCGTGCTTAATTTTTTAAGGATGGACACTGTTTGCCATGACAGCTGTGCCATTTTACATTCCCCCCAGTGAAGCACAAGGTTCCCTGTTTCTCCACACCCATGCCAACACCTGTGGTTTTCTGCTATAATTATTTTTTAATAGCAGCCATCCTAATGGCGGTTAATAACTTTTTATAAAAAATAAACTATATTTTTCCAAACAAAAAAAAATAAGATAAGAGGCATTGTTTTACATTTTGCTAATCCTTTGAATGTCTGGCCTCTCAGATCTGCTTCTGCATTTATTTAATCATTGTCCAATCACATGCCATGTAGACTCTAGAAAATTCCACAGTATCTTCATGAGAGAAAGGGAGGGAGAAAGGCAAATGACATTGTGGTATTATTTAGGAAAATAGTTCTGACTTTGCAGACCTGTTTTAATTATTAACTCAGGGTCTATCCTGTTGCATCTCTTCTCCCTCTTGTTCCTCCCCTTCATCACTTTCTTTTTAAAGCTTTTTAATTTTAAGTAATCCCTACACCCAACATGAGGCTCGAACCCACAAACCGGAACCCATAACCCTAACCCACAACTCCAACCCACAACCCCGAGATCTAGAGTCACATGCTCTACCATCCGAGCCTCCCAGGCGCCTTTCCACTTCACCACTTTTAAGCGAATTCGTAACCATCAGTTATTACCAGCATTGTGTTGGTGCTTTCCTGCATTGGCTTCTTAATCCTTGTTGCAGATCTGCTTTATTAGCATGTGTGAGTATATGGTGGGAACCAGGCCCCAGGGATGTTAGGAAATGTTCCCGAGTTCATGCCTCTGGAAGCTGATGGTATATGCAGGATGGTGACCAGATCAGATCTTTATTACATTCTCTTATATTGGACTTCAGACCATGGGAGTCGTTGGGGCTGCCACCAGCTTGCTTCTTTTTCCCAGTGGGTCTTTGGGGGAGGCATTCCCTGCCTCCATCTCTTACAGGTATGTGGATGCTCTTTCATAGATCTTAAAGAAGCCCTCTGGGCCAGGCC